AAAAAGTCTTATTTCATTACTTACAAGCTAACGTGTCTTACCACATGATTCCATGTTTCTCTGCTCCTATGTTCACGTCTCAACAGCGTTTTAGTTATTTAAATAGGCAGGGATGGGATAAAGCCAGCTCATGCGTTCTGCTTACCTCTGAAACTCAAATCACCAACTGCACCTGGCTAAAGCTTTTTATGAGAGGTCTGCTACCTACTAATAAAATCTTTAAAAGCTACAGATGCTCCGAGACTTTACTCTCTGAACGTTATCTTGCAGTTTTGTTCTATTGCATGGTGCTTTGACTACATCAAACTGAAAGTTTTCTTTCCAAAACAGGACACTATAATCTGGAGGAGCACGGGCGATAAACCGGGAGAAGTCACTTGATGGTAAACTTCTAACAGAATAACACACGAAAAAACCATAAGGAATTTCTGTAAATCAATAACAACAATAAAAGATATAGGAAACGGAATAGGTCGGGCGCAAAGGATATAAATAGGCAAGTCACTGGACAAAAACCCATATAATAGATAAGAGATACCAACCTCACTAATTGTGAAATACAAAGTATTCCAACAATGACATAATACTTTCTGCTCATTCTATCAAAATGACAAAAATGAGAGCAAATACTCAGTAATGCGGCAATGCGGGACGCAGAAACACACACGCACTGCCAGCAGGAATCTGAACTGATTTGGTGGCAGTGAGTGAAACTGCCTGTTCATAACATGTGAAATCCAGCAATTCCACTCCCTAAGCTATATCCCTGAGAGATTCCCGCTAGGGATCTAGGGATCCGTATGAGGATTAAGTAAGTAAAATGGGGTAGTGGAATATGTGTATCAGTTAGAATAATAAACTAGATGTACGGACAGCCACATGGCCAGCCCCAGCTTTTACCCTGGGTGAGGCCTGCCTGCTGTGCTGGTTCCCTCGCTCTGCCCATCCGCTCAGTGAACTACACATTTCTGTAACGCAGTATTCACACTGACATACTTACAACATCTATGAAACGAAGAGACTTGAAAGTTGCTCCAGGCAGGCAGCCCATTGCAGAGAGACAGGGGTAATGGCCTTCCTCCAGTATGTACTGATTGCCAGAGAAGTTTTCTCCATCGTACGCCACCCAGCTACAGGAGGGAAAACCACACACTTCCTATTCAAGAAGTCTCATGTTTAGAGGCAGCCTGCTATAAAACATGTTTATGGCCTCCAGAGTTGTTCTTTAAAAATATTTAGATATATTCACTGCATTTCATCTTGAGTCAAATTAATATTCATACAAAGTCATTTAACTTTGCATCTGGGAATAAAACTTTCTCCATGAAAATCCTCATGTTTTTATTCCCTATCAGCCTTCCTGGCTCCTATCATAGGTGCCACCATTCTGGCAGCATCAAGCTCTCAAGTCCTCTTTAAATAAGACTCCTGCAACCTTCATAGCCAGCCAACCCCCAAAGCTCTCTCTTCTTCATGCTCATTCCTGACACCTCTGCACTGGGCCAGAAGTCAAAATACTACAGTGACTTGGATAAGTCACTTAGCTAACCTTGGCTCAGCATTTTTGGAAAAATGGTGATTTACCATGTTTCCCTAGAAAGTTGGTGTTTTGTTGGGTTTTTAACACACCAATTGTGTCAGGTAATTCTCCACTGCAGGGGGTACGGTAGGAAGCCAAACAAAGTCTCCACCATCTTGAAGTTTAGACTCTAATGAGCAGAGACAGACAATAAATGAGCATTAAAAAACACGTCTGGCAGTAACACATGAAGCAGGGGAGGGATAAAGCCGAACTGGAATGGGGTGGAGGTTCGTGCTAAGACACTGTGAAGCTTCACTGTCAACCTCTGTATTTGAAGGCAAAGCCAGATCTCTTCCACTAATGCTAACTGACAGAACAGTGTTATTTCAACCATAAAGAACTACACGATTAAAGGTACTATTACTCTCATTAGACTTCATTTTTCATCATGTCTTGTATAAATTGCCTTAAGGGTTTCCTAAGTCTCCCTGACTTTGAGCTCTCTCTTCTCTAGTGAGGCAAGCTTTTATAAAATTATTATTTTCAGCATGGCATTATGGGCCCATTGCCTTTACCCTTGTCTGTGTTCCCTGTGGCATCCATCGAAACTCACATGCTCAGGGAGTCTTCATGGCTTGATTCCACTCTCCCAATTAAAGCTGGCTTTTCTTCCTACTAGTACAAGCTCTCTGGGGAGTGGGCTCCTTGATCACCAGGCACACTAACTCCACCCCAACTGCATATTCCTCTTCTCCTATTATGCGGAGTGCCTATCTTCCTCTTATCTACAAAAATAATCTACCTTAAAGGTTATCTGAGTCCAACTCTCCCTTTACAGGTGGTGGAGCAGGCATGGAGAGCGCAGCACCTGGTGTGACGTCTATACAATGAGGTGGTCTTCGCCTTCACCAACCCACTCTGACGTCCACGTGCTCTGGCATCCAGCACTCGGATGTCGTAAAACATACTTTCAGACCAAGATGGTAGCTTCATATGGTGCCAGGCCTCTAACAGGTGCCACTAAATACTTGCTGATGTGTGAATTCTACTCTACCCAAGTGACACAGCTCTGCCAAGCCACTGTTTTACTTACCTGCCTCCGGAAACTCTGCAAGACATGGTAGAAAATGAACCATCAATTTGACTTGTTGTTTCTTCAAAACATTGACTGTGACCTTGAAACTGTGGTTCTGAAAATAAGTGAATCTTTGAAAAAGTAAACAGAAAAACATACAATTATTTTCCAAAACACGTTAATTCATTCAGCTTTTGAGATGATTACCTAAATACGACCGATTAACTCTTGTTATAGTAAACTGGTATGAATTTTATAAATCCTTTAATTTTCTACTTACATACGTTAACCATCAATTAGAAACATGTTGGCTTTCCCTTTCATGACAATTTAATTCGGAGACATCAAAGGAAAATCAACAACAGGGTAAGTTTCTATAGAACACCCTGTTAACCAGCCTTGAGGCATTTTAAAGCTTTATGGTGGCCAAAAGTTGTTAATCAGCTCTAATATTAACAGACTATTTTGGAAACATGTAGTACAGTTTTCCTCCCTCTCAACAGAAGATACTTACTATCTTATTAGAATCTCATACATGCCAGTAAAGGAGGCTGTAGTGATGTTTGTGCCTCCATAATTACTGGTTGTATGAACACTTCCATTAAAAAGCCTAAATATCAAATGTGACACTGCAGTTGATGTTAAGAGTCATCCATCATTCAAAAGGCTTGAGGCCACATAAAACGTCTAATGCAGACATAGCAAATATGAGAATTCATTTTACTATTTATGATAACTAAATGCTGTTGTTTGAATAATAATCTTACCGTCATGATACACACTGATTCAACGTAATGATATAAAATTCAGCTTTACACAAAAAGATCATTTTATAAGCAATGTTCAGACATGGGTTAGTGTTATATCAAGCATTAAAGTAAACTTAAATCTTATTTTAAAAATACAATTATGCTTTCAGGCATAAAAATAGGGAAAACTAACAAAGTGTCCCAAATGTCTGACATTTTATACATTAGTTCACCTTTTCAAATGAAGAGCCCCTAAATATTCAAAAATAGAATATTTTTGAAGTTACCTGATTTCGTCTCCTTGGGCCAGTGAAAGAATCCTAAAAATTTTTAAAGGGAAGAGAAAAGGAAATGAATATAGCAGACATACTGAAAAAGATTTTTCTTCCACACTGTTAGCAATTAGAATATTTTCTGCAGCAATAAATATTGTATGAGCCAGAAGCACACATAACAGAAATCCAGAATTCAGTTAAATATTCTCATACAAAAATATGACTCCTTACCAAACATATGGGTTGAACAGAAGAGATCTTACAATTTTTGCCTCCCCAGTCCTCAAAAGTGGTATAAAATCCTTTATCCAGTATGTACTGTTCTCCTGTGAAGTCAGGATTTTCATAGGCTACCCACCTAAAGAAACAAAAACAGTGACTTGTTACAGTTACTATTTCACGTAGTAAAACTACCACACACATTAGGGCAAATGCATAGCATGCAGAAACTTTCATTTGTAAAGCAGTAATCTTAATTTTTCTGATTTTCCATTAATCTTTAGGAACAGATGGATTTATCTATATGACAAATCGAAATGGTAAGGGAAAGAGTATTATTACGTGAACTTTTTGGTGTTTTGCTTATCCTATCTTTGAAGAATCCCCAATGAAAAGACTTCTCTGTGTTTTGTTCTGATTTTATTCTAAGGAAGCAAATTGAACTTTTAAGAAGAACCTAGTTCTTTTAATAAGCACGCAAGAATTCTTTCTTTAAAATCAAGATTAAAATAACTCAGCAGAAAGTTCTTAACTGAAGCTATGTCTCTACTATACAACAAACCACACTGAAAAAATAGTTAACAGAAGAAATGCTAAAGTAAATAAATGCAGCAAAGTAACTAAAATTTTGTCTCAAACAATATTCCCAACATGATAGAGCTATCTATAAGCAAAATTGAACAAACCCTCAGAAATACTAAAAACAAGTCTCTCGGAATATTTTCATTTGTTATCTTTTAAGTGATCTTTACTCGGGAAAAACAACAAAACATTTTTTTTCTTTTAAGAGATGGGGTCTCACTGTGTTGCCCAGACTAGAGAACATGGCACAGTCACAGCTCACTGCAGCCTCGAACTCCGGGGCGTCAACAATCTTCCCACTCAGCCTCCTGGGTAGATAGTACTATAGACACGTGCCACCAAGGCTGGGTAATTTTTTTAAATTTTTGCTATGTTGCTCAGGCTTCTCTCGAATACCTGGGCTTCAAGAAATCTTCCTGCCTCAGCCTCCCAACTTGCTGTGCTGGGATTACTGGCCTATGCTACCACACTTGGCAAACTAATATATTGATTTTATATCCTAACAAAGTTTTTGAAGGGGAAAAAGTTAGCAACTCTGTTATATTCAAGAGACGCTCAGTGTTTTACTCAATTAAGTCACTGCTCTCATGGTCTTCTCATAGCTTAAAGGAATAATATCTACTCTGTATAATTAAGCAGAGCTTTATAAAATGCTTTCACATGTTAGCACATTTAATCTTCTGGGGAGATACTGATGTTCCCATTTTATAGATGGGAAAACCTAAAGACACAGAAAAAGGATTTATTTTATCACTTGATAAATACTGACGGACCATTTGCCATGATCCAGGAGCTAGACTGGAGGCGCTAGAAAAACAAAGCAGAGAGAGACAAAGTCCCTGTCCTGCGACATTCACAGTTAGCTAAGAAGCACTGCATGGAGTTACCTGTAGGTGTTCTGAATAGGAAAGGACTTGCTCAAGGTGACACAGTCGATCAGTGGCCAGACGTGACTGAATCTCCATTTCCTGAGGCTCCCTGGGATCTCCTCGCTTTAGGACCCGAACTACCATTTACTGTTCTACTAAATTAACTCTAACCAACCCACACACTCCTAATTACAACAGATTATGATTTCGCTATCTAAAGGGCTGATTTAAACAAAAACTCAAGTACAGTCATCATTAGGAAATGAACAACTAACCAAGGAGAAAAAAAAACGCTGCACGAGTTTCCCGTGGCAAGTAGCCATGACTGCTAACACTGGCACACCTGCTTGTGGCCATCCGAATGGAGAAACCGCTGTAAGCACCAGTCACAGTTCCTTTCAGGAAATGCTGTCATCCCAAAACTCCCATTTCAGAACCTCATTGCCAATTTTCTTTCTTTCTTTTTTATTGTTGGGGATTCATTGAGGGTATGAGAAACCACGTTACACTGATTGCATTTGTTAGGTAAAGTCTCTCTTACAATCGTGTCTTGCCCCCAAAAAGTGTGGCACACGCCAAGACCCCACCCCCTTCCTCCTTCTCTCTCAGATCTCCCTTCCCCCACCCCCACCATGTCATTAACTGTCATTAATTGTCCTCATATCAAAATCGAGTACATAGGATTCATGCTTCTCCATTCTTGTGATGCTTTACTAAGAACAGTGTGTTCCACTTCCATCCCGGTTAATACAAAGGCTGTAAAGTCTCCATTTTTTTAATGGCTGAATAGTATTCCATGGTGTACATATACCACAGTTTGTTAATCCATTCCTGGGTTGGTGGGCATTTAGACTATTTCCACATTTTGGCGATTGTAAATTGAGCTGTGATAAACAGTCTAGTACAAGTGTCCTTATGATAAAAGGATTTTTTTCTTTCTGGGTAGATGCCCAGTAATGGATTGCAGGATCACATGGGAGGTCTAGCTTGAGTTCTTTGAGGGTTCTCCATACTTCCTTCCAAAAAGGTTGTATTAGTTTGCAGTCCCACCAGCAGTGTAAAAGTGTTCCCTTCTCTCCACATCCACGCCAGCATCTGAAGTTTTGAGATTTTGTGATGTGGGCCATTCTCACTGGGGTTAGATGATATCTCAGGGTGGTTTTGATTTGCATTTCTCTAATAATTAGGGATGATGAGCATTTTTCATATGTTTGTTACTCATTCGCAATTTTCAAAACCTCTTCTTCATCACTGTGAGGTCAGCAGTTAGGAAACCTGGTTCTATCTGTGGCCATGGCACCAACCCTCAAGAGGTCACTGAACCTTTGTGAGAGTTTGCATTTTCATTTCTAAGCAAGGAAGTTAGACAAGGTCGCAGTGCCCACACGGTGCGGCCAGCACAGCAGCACAGCACTTGGGGACCTGTGTGTGTATTTATGGGCTTCGCTGATGCAGGAGCGGGGAGCACCGTGGGCAGGAATGCCCGCATATCAAGAAAATCTACAAAGACCAGAACTTAAAAAAAAAAAAAAGCAACTGAAAATTAAAGAGGATAAGCCACATCACAAAAAAAGTGTTCCCAGCAGGGCACTGGGGCTGCCCAAGTTAGAAGGCCTTTCTGTTTGACTTCAAGGTGTGGAGGGAGAAAGGCAGTGAGGAGAGACTAAACACAGAGGAGAAAGGCAGCGGCTGAGCGAGCCCCAGAAGAAGCAGCATCACTCAGCCACGTTTTTGCTAACAACTGTAAGTTTCCCTATAAAACCAGCACCCCAGTAATCCCACCTAATTCCCTGAAGCTAAAGTAGGCAAACGATTTATTGTTACTTGAATTGACAGTCGTGTTGTTTTCCCTCCCAAGATGCAGCCGCAGATCACTCACTCAAACCCAGATCTCGGATCTTCTGCTGTATCTAAGATCTCAGAGTCTACTTAAAATTTATACTTGCGATTCTTAGGAAAATTCCTTAGCGTCCTTATTCAGACTGTACACATGAATGAACACTTCTCTATTTAAAGACTGGAGAGGGGGAAGGGAAAGCCACCAATACAAGTACCAGCAGGTCCCAGCCTGGTGGAATAATTGCTCAACATTTAAGGGCAGCAGGGCCAACCTGCCTTTTTGTGGAAGGCCAAAAGAAAAAGAATTTAAAGCAACAATACTCTTATTTTTTATCTGAACTTCAGAAATATTTCATTTTGCTCTTAGTTTTAAAAAATTAACCCTGTTTCCGCTATTTCACCAAGAATATGGTATAAAACTAGAAACTGGTAAGCAGGACTGTTTGGGGGGATTTCCCTTCACATTCTGGGAAGAAATGAGCCAGTTCTCAAAAACCTCAATTGTTGGACTTCTGAACATCCTTCCTGGAGGCCGTCTTCTTTTTTTGGAGCTAATAATGAGTTTACTACCCAGAGAATTTATTACCCATGTGATAATGAGCCTTCTGGGGGAGACTTCCACAGAACAAGAATTTCACAAAAGTTTGTTCCTGGCATTGAGTTCCATATAGGTGTATGTATACCATGGAATACTATTCAGCCACTAAACAGGATGGAAACTATACATCTTTTGTATTGACCTGGATGGATGTGGAACATATTCTTAGTAAAGCATCACAAGAATGGAGAAACAAGAATCCTATGTACTCAATTCTGATATGAGGACAATTAAGGTCTGAGTTCATGGTAGGGGTGGGGGTTGGGGAGAGCTGAGAAAGGGGAGAGAGAAGGTGGGGGAATAAGCGGTGTGGTACCCCTTTTGGAGATGGGACAGAATTTTAAGAGGGCCCTTATCTAACAAAAGCAATCAATGTAATCTGGTACTATATATCCTCAATGGATTCCAAGAATAATAAATAAATAAGTAAAAATAAAAATTTAAACCTAAAAAAAAGAAAAAAAGAAAGAATCAAACTGAAGTGTCTATTACAATATGATGATTTTCCTTCAAAACAATTAAAAATGAATAGCTAGTCTTCTTCATCTTGGCACATCTCAGCCTTCCCATCCTAAGGCCTAGCCCCCAACGCAAGCTCCTCTGCAGTCTTCTCTGTGCCATGCTGGAAATTAATACATACTGTGGATTCCTGAAGCGTTTAGTCTCTACCTCTCTTGGCAATAATTATGTTTTATATAAATACTGTAACTTCTTTGAGGGTATAATGCTTTATGCATAGTAGAACTCAATAAATATTTGTCAAATGACAAACTGAACGAAATATGAGGAAGCAGCTGTCCCTGAAGGGGACATACAGAAGGCCTTCCACATCCAGTGAACTTAGAAGGAAGTGGGGGTGTGTGTGTGTGTGTGTATGTGTGTGTGTGCGCGCGCACGTGCGTGCGTGCGGTATGTATGTACCTGCCTTCAACTTCCTCCTTATACCAAAACACAACTGCTACAACCAGAAAAAGCCTAAGCCAGGAAATGCAACTAGAAATAACTCAAAATAGAAACATAACGACAACATTTTATAGAGGAAACTGATTTTAAGTAAGCTAGAGCTCTGTACAAAGGACAGGAGATTGGCTCGGGGCACTGCAATTCTACCTAATGCCCTCTGGGAATTTGCCCCAGCATCCTCTGGCTTCCTTTGTTAGGGTGGATGACTGGGCCCTGACGAGCAAAACCAATACACTTGTGGATATCACAATGCACACAGCAATTTCATCAAACTGAGTTGGTCACTATATTTCCCTTCTAAATAATGAGCTTTAAAGGCAAGCGAAACACTGCAGAGGCACAGCACTGTTTAGATGACTTCTGGCTTTTGCACACAGTCAGCTATGATTCTAAAATGTGAGGACTCCAGAATAGGACCCAAGAGAAGACACTTCTATGAAAGACCTGGTCAGGCAAGGTGGCTCTCACTTGTACTGCTAGCACATTGGGAAGCAGAAGCAGGTGGATTGAGATCGGGCAGAGCTCGGGAGTTTGAGATCAGCCTGAGCAAGAGCAAGGCTGTGTCATTCCTAAAAGTAGAAAAATTAAGACAGGTGTCTCTTGCCAGGCACCTGTAGTCCCAACTACTTGGGAGGCTAAGTCAGAAAGATTGCTTGAACCCAGGAGTCTGAGGTTGTTGTAAGCAAGGATGACACCACGGCACTCTATCCTGGGCAACAGAGTGAAATTCTGTCTCAAAAGAAAAAAGAAAAGAAAAGAATAGAAGACCCCCAAATCACTGGTATCATTCTGCCAAGACAGCACCACCTACAACAGCCTACACAAGAATTTGGTGAACATGTCTAATAGTAAAAGTATATTACATTTTAGACACATTTCAAATATCTAGGGCTACTGTGGAAGGCCCCATGAGACACAACAGAGGCTAGAATGATTCAAATAGCCTATCACTATAACATCCCCAAACACCTAACATCAAACAGAACCAGTGTCAAGTTATTTCCTATAACTATTTAATAATATTCTCACTTATGACAAATTAGAATAGGCATCAGCCTGGATTAGAAGAAAGAATGCGTAACTCCCTATAATGGCCATCTACTGTATTTGCCCATCTGGACTCTTCCCTTAGAAAGATCAAACTCTTTCTGAGGTTCCTGGAGACCAACAATCCCAGACACAGCTCAGTGGCTCCTCCGGGCTGGCCCCTGCATCCCAGCTCTGGGAAGGGGCATATAACCCAGACAGGGCCATCTCCTGGGATTGGTTCAGGCACGTGCATGTGAGCCAAGCCGAGCAATCAAAGTCAAACATGGAACTCGTGAGGGAAAGAGAAGATCTTTTTGTGCAAGCAAGTAGTTGGGAGCACAAAAGCCAGATGTGCGCACAGGCTTCCAGATGCAAAGGGCCTGCTTAAAATAAAGCCAACATAGCGAGAAGCCCAGTCAAGAGGTAAAGATCAAGTTCTGATGACAGCATTTAATCCCCTGCATCCAGCCATACCTGCAGCAAAATCTCCTCCAGGACTTTTCAGTTACTAAGCCAGTAAGTTCCATTTGTATCACTTGGGCCAATTTAGCCTGGCACGGAGTCACCTGCCTCCTAAAGAATCCTGACTAAACTTCTTCCAATAAAAACTCGCTTCTCCATCCATAAAACGTTCAATTGCAAACTCCAGGTATATTGAAACAAGTATAATTATGTCAAACTAATAGTGGAAAAAATATACAGGAGCAGGTGTAGGACTATAGGAAAATAAAATGGAATTCTGTCCCCGCCTCAGGTTTCTAATGTCAGATAACTATTATTGTTTGACTTCATGCAATGACAAGAGAAGCAGATCTGTAGATTTCTATCCTGACACCAAATAGCCTACTCCAACATTACATCCACGTGGAAAAAAAAAAAATGTATGACAAAGATTTTTTAAAGCATTTATGAAAATATCATGGCAATAACTATTAAGTGGCTATTTTAATGTTTGGCTGTTGAGATAATTAGTTATTGAGTGCCTGCTTTGAGTCACAGACTATCGTTTTAACACAAACCAAGGTCAAACCCATGTTTAAAATTACAATCCGATCATTTCACTTACACGCCACTCAGTACGTTAATGGACTGTGTCTTCACTCCATATCCCGTCTCCTTTAAATTAGCAACAATCCCCAATACGTCAATACTGGAACCTTTGGATCCAAAGTTTTTTTCACTGTACATTATCATGTGAGCATTGGAAAAATCCTATTGAGGAAAAAAAATAATCAACATTCAAAGCCTAGTCACTTATTATCCAAAAAGGCCAATTAGCTGTTCTTTAACTTACACCTAATATAGGTCGTAAAGACTGAAGTTCTCTGTCGTAACCTCCCCAGTCTCTCCAGTCCCTGTATTCTCCTTCTTCTAGCAAATACTGATGACCAGTAAATCCAGGCTTCTCATACGCAACCCAGCTACAAGAGAAGGAACATGATGGTAGTAATTTTCAGACATGTTAAAATCTTCCCAATGTACAAATCAGTTTCATTGACAAACAGCCATACAGCTAGACCTGAGCTTCTGCATTTTTATCATTGGAATTCTCTAAAATTTAGGAGAATAACAATATGGCCCCAAGAAAACAAAGTAAGACATAGACTTCTATAAAGAAAAGTTCAGACGTGTGTGTGTGTGTGTGTGTGTGTTTGTGCCATAGGACTGAAAAGAACCTTAGCAAGTAACACTGGATAACATGTTCTTCAAATTATAATTTAAATATTATAACTGGCTATTTACAAGATCAATGTCAGTAAGTACTTCTATGGGAAATGTATAAGATCTATAAAAGGCAGAAGTATAAAAATTAGAAAGCAAACTTCAATGGTATGAACCATAATTCTAATAAACAAGACTGTAGATTTCATCAATCTGGATGGGCCAATTTATCAGCCTTGCTAGGTGAACTGACCTCATACCTGTCTTTTAAACCATTTTCTCAAATCTAGTTAGGAGAACATGGATATACCAGTCAAAATTCACCAAGCCATAGAATCAGGAAGGTTGTTCTGGTGGGGCAGGGGGCGGCATTTATTACTTTATTAAGGAAGAAAAGAAGAAATCCTTACAGGTAACCCAGCTACTTACATGCCTCTTAGAACTTTCATAGACCCCACTGACGTGAACGGCAAACGACCATCTCCAGCTGTTTCTTCTGTTTCACCACCGTCTGTGACGAAACTACACAAGTCTGTTTCTAGTTCCATACATCTTCCTTCAAAGAAAGGCTTTTCATAAACAACTACCTATGACAGAAATGATTAATTTGTAAGAAGTTAAATTTCTCAACAGGTAAACATTAAATCAGTCACTTCATACCACTAAGGCTTGGAACATAAATTAAAAATTTTCTAAAAGAAAATTTTTTTTTCTAAACATATTCTTAAAAATTAACTAAATAACAGCATCTGATAATGTTAAAAAAAAAAAAAAATCAGGCTTTTTCCCTTGCCCAAAGCAAGGATCCAAAACAAACTTTGTTTTTTTTTTTTTTGAGACAGAGTCCCACTTTGTTGCCCCCAGTAGAGTGCTATGGCATTACAGCTCACAGCAACCTCAAACTCTTGGGCTCAAGCAATCCTCCTGCCTCAGCCTCCCAAGTGGCTGGGACTACAGCTGCCTGCCACAATGCCTGGCTATTTTTAGAGACAGGGGTCTCATTCTTGCTCAGGCTGGTCTCTAACTCCTCAGGAAATCCACCTACCTTGGCTTCCCAGAGTGTTAGGATTACAGGCCTGACCCACTGCCCCCAGCCCCAAACACAATGTTTAAGTAATTGGTTTTTATTAAATGTCTAGAACTGATTTTTAGAATTTTTCTCAGGCCAAACAAAGGAACCAGAGGATTCTAATGTTGCTTTAAAAGTGAAAAAACAAAAAACAGTAACATTCAAGTATGTGGCATAGATGTGGGAAACGACAAGGGCGCAGCATTGTGGAGGAGGGAGAGACTGTCTTGAAAAAGTGTTTTTCTGTCCAACTAGCAAGTGGCAACAAGCCCCGTGATTAGTAAACACAACCACAAATTATAAACTTCATGCCACAGTGAACCTCTGAGGCTAAACGGTACCCGGTTAGCACTTACTAGGGCCAACTTTTTCATTTTCAGCCTAAAGGACGGCCGGTGTAAGTCAGGGCAGCCTCCTTTGACGGCATTTATGTTTGATAGAGGTTTCTGTGTGAAGTCACACACGTATTATCTTTATAGAGTGGAAATAAAACTTTAAATAAATATGTATTTTTACCTTTGGATCTGTAGGGAATTCAACTTTACGGCCACCCTGGAAAGAACAATGACACAGTAAGAAAAATGGTTTTCCACCGATACATTACCATTTCATACACATATTTGCCATGGCAGTTTATGGTAAGCCGTTGAACCTCACAGGGTGATTATGCCCCAGTTTATTTAGCTTTACATGAGACAGTCCCCAAATTGCCAACGATGCGGATGATGACGGCGTGGAGCAGAGCCTCACGTGGGAACTCTGGAAGCTGAATCTGCATGGTAGGTGGTGTTTTTGGCCTTTTTTTTTTTTTCTCTTTTTATTGTTGGGGATTCATTGAGGGTACAAGAAACCAGGTTACACTGATTGCATTTGTTAGGTAAAGACCCTCTTACTGGGTGATGCCTGTGGCTCAAAGGAGTCAGGCGCTGGCCCCACATACTGGGTGGTAGCTTCAAACCTGGCCCCAGCCAAAATTGCAAAAAAAATTTAAAAAATTAAAAAAAAAAAAGACCCTCTTACAATTGTGTTTTTTTAAAAAAAACTTGGAAAATTTCTCATAAAAATCCATGCTTTCCTTGAAGTATAATCCTAAGATCTGACATCTATGGAAGCAGATTCTCACAGGTAGCAACCTTCACCTTCTGCACTTATTAATCCTACGCTGGGCACATCCCTAAGCCAAGGCATACGCTGGTTTGCTCCTCTCCACGCCTCTCCTAGGCTCAGCTCTCTGCCACCTGCATTTGCTACCTGGCCACTGGGAGTAACTACAAAACACTGAAGTTCACACAGTATGATCTGGAGCTCTCATGAAATTATTAGATAAACTAGTCGATAAAATTTAAAATATCTCAAAGGATAAATCAAAACAATTGTTCAAAAAATCCCTAAAAACTCACTGATAATGAACCAGAAAAAAGTTATTACATAAAAATATTAAATAGGTCCCAAGTTACAATCAGCAATGGGAAAGTCAGAAAGTTTTCTTTTTACTAATATATCTTTAACAGCTTAAAAAAAGTACAGCCAAAGATGTTCAAATGCACCAAATGAACTGTAATCATGAAGGAATGTGGCCGATTTTATCAGCAAACCTGAGATTAGACAAATCAAGTACCTGCCCTTTTCAAAAGTAATTGTCTTCTAACAACACAAACTTCAGAGTTGTTTAATCATCATTACAAACTTTTAAAACCTGGGGCAATCCTTTCATATACTCCAAAACTAATGAAACACTGCTCTTTTTTTAAAAAAATATTATTCTTTGAAAGTGGATTTAATTTTAAGAAAAATAAAAAGCCCAAATCATTTGCATTAAGGCCAGTGAATATGCAGATAATTACACCAAATGCTCTGTCAGAAGGGATCAACTTAAGATAAAAAATTGTCTTCTTAATTCTAATTTGTTTCAGATTGGCTCAGTGACAACTGCAAAGCGACACTTCAAAAACATGCTCATCACAGAGCCTCACTCTGGCCACAGGTATTTAGCGCACCACTGCTACAATGGGGCACACACTATACTCAACCTTGGGGGACCACCAGGTGCAGCCTGGTTTTCCCGAAGCTCACAGCCTCGCAGAAGAGACCAAGAACAAGGCAAATACAGCAACAAGGTAGAAGCAGTGCCAGGCTCCTTCCAAGGCAAATTCTTGAGGACAATACTTATATGGATATCCATCTCCACCACCCTGCTGGCTGCCACCCAGCCCAGCCTCCTGTCCCTGCAGCTGGTCTCCACTGCGCCCTGCACTCCTCAGCCCTGCACCCTGGCTCCTGTAGTGCAGTCTCTGACAGCTCCATCTAAAACGATCCTGCTCATTTTTCAAAAATGCAACTTGATTTTTCACAAAGCTCTCCTAACCGCGCCCCTTCTTTGTCACATTGCCCACAAATTGGCATTGTATTTGTCCTTCCTCTGATTTTTCCACCAATGTTTAATTTTTCACTCTCTTCACTTATTAAATCTACATCGGGCTGAAGCTGTGTATACTCCTCTGCAGCTCCACAAGGCTGAGAATGCCTTGAAGGCAAAGAACATACTTTTACCTACTTTTTTATCTGTACCATCCAGCCCATAATTGTTTCTATTATTTCTATCAAGGAATTGGTCCCATTTACTACACACTTGTTTTTAAAAAGTCAACTTTATTGTTTCAAAGTCATGCCCTGTGGATTATCAATGTCAAGCTGACAAAGGATCTGCTTTGATTTCATTTTTACCATTTTCAGAGGCCGCATGGATCCGATGTACGCTGCTTCTGTATCCCAGAAGGATAAGTCAGGGTATTCACCAGGCTCCAGGATGCAAGGCATACCCTGAAATCCAGGTTCTTCATAAATAAGCCATCTAAATAATAACCACCAAAGAAGGAGAGAAATGGAGACAACTCATCATTTATTTCAGGTTTTCCTCCCACCTGGTACAGAGGACCCCACTGACAAGAGGACAAGAACAGGAGAGGATATGGACCCACACAATGAGTGGTTACATTTAAGTGTTAGACCCATGTCAGACTCAAGATGGAGTAAACCATTACACGCTTCTCTTCTTGGGCTACACTCTTCTCCTCAGGGGCTTGGCCCACTTAATTCATATGATTAGTTGAGTTGCTTCTAAGTTCCACCTCATCATTTGTCATGGTATCAAAATTATTTTTTTTTAATTTCAGATTAATATGAAGGTACAAACGATTAGGTCCATAGAATATTATTCAGCCATAAAAATGGAGGCTTTATATCTCTTTTATTAACCTGGATGGAGTTGAGTAACATTCTCTTGGCACAAGTATCACAAGAATGGGAAAAGCAAGCATCCAACATACTTAACACTAATATGATACCAGTAGATAAACGACTACTCATCCACAGGATGTCAAAAATTATTAACAGCTAACATCTCCCTAGAGGTCATAAGGAATGCCATTAGATTTCATCTAATCCTCGCAATAAAGCTATCAGGAAGGAATATGATTGCTCCCATTTTATAGATAAGATTAAGGAAATTGCCCAAGGCCAAAGGCCAGCTAATCGGAGCAGACTCCAGAGCCAGGCTCCTAACCACTGTTTTGTGGCAGTTTTCCTCATTGCAAGGAGTGCAGTGCACACAATTCACTCCTTTCACAGTTACTCAGGACCATCCCTGAGGGTGACCACTGCTTAAAGCTCACTGCATCCACAGGGGCTCTGAAGGTCCTACAGAGTGCTTGTTCCCAGGACACAAAGCTTTGTGAGTTCTTGGTTCTGATTTTTATAGCTTTTCAACACCCCACCCTTCTATCAGGCTTGTCAGCTGTCACTTCTGCTTCAGTCAAGGAACCAGCAGCCCCACCCTTGTGTAAAGGGCTGGAAACCAGGAAACCTGTTAGAACCGTCTCTAAAGACCGCAAAGTCTTCTTGGTTTCTGAAAGGGTTGTGGGAAGGTGAGGCTCTCAGAGAAGTGGTTTTTACATAACGCCTTATATAAGAGAGGTGTTAATGCACTCCTGTTTATGAACAGAATTCTTTGTGACCACTTAGCACTCTCCAACTCTACAAAATGTCTTTGCTGGGGCACTCCACCAGGCTGTGTCCCCAGAATACTATGCCAAGAAGAGGGTATCAGTAAATTAAATCTTTTACCAAAAAATGGGTCTGATGCTTATCTCTTTGTTCTCAACTTTGGCCCAAGGCACATTTTTGGTGATGTTTTTTGTTAACGAATCCCCTGGATAAATCAACAACTTCTTTAGACTCACTAATTATACAGGGATTTACAACACACACGCACATAAAAGAATGTTGGGAGGCCGGGCGGGGTACACAGGTGGGAGATCAAAACTAATCTGCAGCCTTAGAAGTCAGGGTAACAGTTACTGGGGAAGATGGAGGGGAGGATGGCTGGCAGGAAGTGGGAATGAGGAGTCTTCAGTAATGCTGGCAGCGTTCTATTATTCTGTTTCTTTTTTTTTTTTTTTTTGAGACAGAGTCTCAAGCTATCCCCCTGGGTAGAGTGCCATGGCATCACGCTCACAGCAACCTCCAACTCCTGGGCTCAAGCGAGTCTCCTGCCTCAGCCTCCCAAGTAGCTGGGACTACAGGCGCCCGCCACAACGCCTGGCCATTTTTTGGTTGCAGCCATCATTGTTGTTTGGCGGGTCCGGGCTGGGGATTCGAACCCGCCACCTTAGGTGTATGTGGCTGGCGCCTTAGCCACTTGAACCACAGGCACCGAGCCTATTATTCTGTTTCTTGATCTTAGGGATGGTTATACACGTGTAATCACTTGGTGAAAATTAACTCAGAGTATAAGGTTAGAATTTACCTTTTGTACACGTTTATGGTTCAAAATAAATTAACTTAAGGAAAAAAAAAGAGGCTTATCTTTTAAATACCACTGTAATGGCCTTAAACCACAAGAAAACAGAGGCTAAGAAGGTGGTACTTTATCAGCTTCCCATGTTTAAAGCACAACCTTGAGGATAGAGTTCACGCTATCGCAGGCCCACTACACACTGATTTCGTGCCCTAAGTAGATACTGGCAGTTTTGTAATACATTATGTTATTAGGCTGACAAGTCAAGGGGGGCCTGGAAGTCTCACTCCTTCACAAATAAAGGGGCTTAGTTTTTTGCAACCAAAATGTTAACTAAACAAGTGGTTCAGCAATGTTGGAAGATGTTTACCAAAGTGCTCTTGTGGTTAGGTCTGTCCTCCTATAGCCTGAGTTCTGAAGGAATTTATTCCTCTGATGCTAAAAATTTCACTTGTGTTGAAGCGTGTGGTTGAGTCACGTAACACTTATAGAAGGAAGGTAATTGTGAGTAAAGGGGAATTTCTTAAAACACTGAACACAAACTGATGCGTTGGAAAAGACTATGTTCTGAGTAAGAGAGGGCCTGCTGGGGAACCAAACAGATAAGTTTATGAAGGTTGGGTGGACTTTGGAATCTGAAAACTCATAGACAGAGTATGATTCATTTTTCCTAAATTCTGTTCCAACAAGATACATTATTCATAAGGCCATCAGGAGAGGGGGAAACTGTCTTCAGGCAGTGTTATTTCAGTTTCTAAAGGTACTCTTGTTTTCCCATGCACTTAAGTAATGAGCTTTTGCTAACACAGATTAAAAAATTAAAAAGTACAACTTTATAGGTACACTTAACAAACAGTTCACATGAAGTCTGAACTTATTTTTTAACAAACACAATTTATACACAAATGAACATTGCTGAAGTAGTAACAATGCCATCTTTTTGTTTACTAAAAACTATTTGTGTAATTGTTCTTTTTAAAAATACCCTTTGAGTCACACAAGAAAAATCGGTCTTATCTTGTTCCAGCTGTTCTTAAACCAAAACAGCATTTCCAGCTAGATCATAAGTCTTACTCCCTGGACATGGCTGTACATGAATGTTAGCCATTTACAGAAACCAACTGGATACTTGAAAGATTAAATATGAATGTGCTAACTTTGAGGTTATTCAAAAGAGAGGGGGTGGTGAATCTCAAAGGGGAAAATGCACCTTTACAATGGGAAGACGTGGGAGGCACCACATCTAACCAAACAACCAAATTCGGTATCATTAATGAGTAAGCTGGTCAGCACAGGCCACCTGACGGGATGAAACGTCAATGCATGGTCTGTGTATGTGAAGGGGCCTTCCCCAGACTGTTCAGCCTGAATCTAATCACACCTCTAGACCTAATTCCTAGTAGACACAAATTCAGATGATAGAAGAATAAGTTAAATGATATCACAAGGGAACACTCAGATAAATTCAGAATGTGGTACATTTTCTAAGACAGCTGGTAGCCTACATTCTTCAAAAATGCAGTGGCATGGCAAACAAAGATGGGAGTAATTTAAAGATTTAAAAAAAATTTTTTTTTCTTTTTGAGACAGAACCTCAAGCTATTATCCTGGGTAGAGTGCCGTGGCATCATAGCTCACAGCAACCTCAAACTCTTGAGCTCAAGCAAACCTCTTGCCTCAGTTTTTCTATTTTTAGTAGAGACAGGGTCTCACTTTTGCTCAGGCTGGTCTCGAATTCCTGAGCTCAAACAATCCACCCCCGTCAGCCTCCCAAAATACTAGGATTACAGGCATCTCTTTCACCACGTTTGGTCAAATTATTTTTTTTTAGAGTTTTTTTTTTTTTAAAAAGAATCTTAAAGAGATGGAACAAATGCATTTATATGAACAATGATTGGATTCTTTTTTTTTTTTTTTGAGATAGCATCTTGCTCTGTCACCCTGGGTAGAGTGCAGTGGCTTCATCATAGTTCACAGCAACCTCAAACTCTTGGGCTCAAGTGGTCCTCCTGCTGCAGCTTCCTGGGCTGGGACTGCAGGCACACTTCATCATGCATAGCTAAGTTTTCTATTTTTTGTAGAGATGAGGTCTCACTCTGTTGCCCAGGCTAGTCTTGAACTCCCGGGCTCAAGTGATCCTCCTGCCTCAGCCTCCAAGTAGCTGAGACTATAGGCATTAGTACCCAGCTAATTTTTCTATGTTTAGTAGAGATGGGATCTCACTTTTTCACTTTTTCTCCTACTTTAGCTTCCCAGAGTGCTAAGATTATAGGTGTGAGTCACTATACCTGGCCCTTGATTGAATTCTGATTAGAATAAACAAATCTGTAAAAGGCATTCCTGAGGCAATTGGGAAAATCTGGTTATAGGCTATAGAAATGATAATACCACTGACATCGTGTTAATTTTCTTTTTTTTTTTTTTTTTTTTTTGAGACAGAGCCTCAAGCTGTCCCCCTGGGTAGAGTGCCGTGGCATTACAGCTCATAGCAACCTCCAAC